CTCACTGGAGCGTTTCGCAGCCGAGTGTGAAGCGGTTGGGATGAGGATCAGCACCTCCAAATCTGAAACCATGGTCCTCAGTCGGAAAAGGGTGGAGTGCCCTCTCCGGGTCGGGGAGGAGATCTTGCCCCAAGTGGAGGAGTTTAAGTATCTTGGGGTCTTGTTCACGAATGAGGGCAGGAGGGAGCGAGAGATCGACAGACGGATCGGTGCAGCGTCTGCTGTAATGCGGACGTTGTATCGGTCTGTCGTGGTGAAGAAGGAGCTGAGCGAAAGGGCAAAGCTCTCAATTTACCGGTCGATCGACGTCACAACCATCATCTATGGTCACGAGCTATGGGTCGTGACCGAAAGAACGAGATCCCGGATACAAGCGGCCCAAATGAGTTTTCTCCACAGGGTATCCGGGCTCTCCCTTAGAGATAAGGTGAGAAGCTCGGTTATCCGGGAGGGGCTCAGAGTAGAGCCGCTTCTCCTCCACATCGAGAGGAGCCAGATGAGGTGGCTCGGGCATCTAATTAGGATGCCTCCTGGACGCCTCCCTGGTGAGGTGTTTCGGGCATGTCCCACTGGCAGGAGACCCCGAGGACGACCCAGGACACGCTGGAGAGACTATGTCTCCCAGCTGGCATGGGAACGCCTCGGGATCCGCCAGGAAGAGCTTGAAGAAGTGGCTGGGGAGAGGGAAGTCTGGGCTTCCCTCCTAAAGCTGCTGCCCCCGCGACCCGACCCCGGATAAGCGGTGGAGAATGGATGGATGGATGGACAAATGAGCTTAAAAATGTTGACACAAAAAGAATGCAGACCTGATTCTCTACTTGTAAAGTCATAAACACTGTATATGTTTCTCTCATGAAACAAAAAAAAAAAAAAAAACCAACCATCGCTCGGTTGCAGTTTCAGAGGACTCCTGTGCTGAATTTATATCTGCAGTGTCCAGAAGCCCTGAAAGAAAAAATAGACCCTATAAAAATGAATTGCCTCACAAACGTTCACAAATCTAAAACAGATTTTGGTCTAAATGACTCAAAGTCCATCACTTCATACTGCCCAGCCACAAAAACCACATATACAGGTAAGACAGAAGATAACCACTCCTGTCAAAAAAAAACTATAGCGGTCGTTGGACAGTCAATATCGCGGACAAAGAGAGGTAGCAATTTTATTTAACCCTTTAAGGGACAGCGGTTACCACAGTGGACAGCTTATCATGGTACTGTATCAGGTTACAGGGTGCATGAAAGGCTTAAAAAAAAGATGCAGTTGAAAATTTAGGCCGCACCTGCTTTATGTATGATTGATTCATGGTTCTCTTGTGGTCATTGGTAAAGCAAGTAAAATGTCGTAGATATATAAATTAGTTAGGTTTACCTTTTTGTCATTGTTTTCAATGGTGTGTTTAACAGCTGAATTGCTGGGATGATTTAAAAATATATAATAATGATGCCAATAATAATAATAATAATAATAATAATAATAATAATAATAATGCCAATAATAATAAAAACAACAATAGTAATGATAATGATCATCTCCACCATCTTTATTAAGCAAATAATTTTCACAATATTCAACAATTGAAAAATAGTAAATCAGTACTAATGCTCAGGCTGAAGCGTGACCTCGCGGTTTTCACCTTTCATAGAGGGTTTCTGTCCCCCATCAACCACGAAAAATGAGGAATTACTGTATGATTTTTTTTTTCTTGTACATCCAATGTTTTAATGTCACGTATTTCCATTTTCAATTTTTGCATTTTAGACTCGACTTCACTTCAATTTCCTGAAATTGGACATATTCAGGACAGGCTGAGTTAGCCACACAACTATTGAGAGGAGGGTCCATCGGGAGGTCGAATCTCAGATTCAGGAGGAGCAATGTGGTTTTCGTCCCAGCCGTGGAACAGTGGAGCAGTTCTACACCCTCAGCAGGATCCTTGAAGGGGCATGGAAGTTCGCCCAACCAGTCTACATGTGTTTTGTTGATTTAGAGAAGGCGTTCGACTGTGTGCCTTGGGGAGTACTGTGGGGTGTGCTTTGGGTTTATGACACATCGAGCCTCCTGATACGGGCTGTTCAGTCCCTGTACCACCGATGTCAGAGTTTGCTCCGCAATGCCGGCAGTAAGTCAGATTTGTTTCCAGTGAGGGTTGGACTCCGCCTTGCTACCCTTTGTCATCGATTGCGGTCATAACCTTGAAGGACAGAATTTCTTGGCGCAGCCGAGGCGTAGAGGGTTTTTTTTTCCTCTTCGCTGGTGGCCATTGTATTGCATCTCTGCTTTTTGCAAATGATGTGGTAAAGATGGCTTCTTCAAGCCATGATCTCCCAACTCTCAGTGTAGCAGTTTACAGCAGTGTGTGAAGCGGTTGGGATGAAAATCAGCGCCTCCAAATCTGAGACCATGGTCTTCAGTCGGAAAACAGTGGAGTGCCCTCTGCAGATCGGGGATGAGATCCTGCCCCAAATGGAGGAATTCATCTTGTTCACGAGAGAGGATAAAAGTGTGCGATGCACAAGCGGATTGGCGCAGAGTCTGCTGTGATGCAGACTCTGTGTTGGTCTGTTGTGCTCATGAAGGAGTGGAAAGATGAGAGCTTTTGATTTTACCGGTCGATCTATGTTTCTACCCTCACCCAAGAGCTGTGGGTTGTGACCAAAAGAACGAGATCCCGGTCAAAATTATTTTCCTCCACAGCATGTCTTTAAAGTCTTTAAACTGTCATTTCTATTAGAATAGACAGTCATGATTATTATTTTGAGACTTCATGAAGAAAACATCATTCTCCAAAGGATCCAGCGGCCACTCTCCTGAAGGATCTCTTTTTAACGCAGGACTTGTTAACTGTACTGCAGGGTCCTTGGTCACTCTTCTCCAAGATAGCTGCTTCAGCTGCTCCACGATGGTCTCTGGTGATTTATTGACTGTGACAGGAAAGCCTCTTCTGGACATGTCTTCACTCGATTCCATGGCGGTGTCGTAGGTTTTTGTGCAGTCCGTGGACTTTACCTTCCAGGAAGAGGGTTTGAACCTGAATCTGGTTGTCTTTCTTGCGGATCGCTGCGAATTCTCGTCTCTTTTTCAGCATACGAGGAGGATAATCATCAAGAGATATGTGCTTATCATTCAAATTAAAGCATTTCTGTAGCCAAGCTTGACGAAGAATCTTTTCTTTGATTTTGAAGCTCAAAAACTTCACAAGGATAGAGCGTGGAGGGGCCTCGGAGGGAGGTGGTGGGCCCAGAGCTTGGTGTACCTGTTCGATAGCAGTATAATCTGTTTGGTCGAAATTGTCGGGGATTCTTGTTCTGACTCTTTCTCTCCTCGAAAAGCTCTCCAAGTCACTCAGCTTATGCACTAGCTTCTCGTGCAACTGCACAAGCTCCATCATGGCCTCTTCCACATTTACAGGAGCATTCTCACCAAAATCTTCTCTTGTAAAATCAGTCCGTATTCGGCCATGGATCGTGTTAGCTGATTAGCCTTGCGCCCGTGTATTTGTCTTCGCAGCTAATGTTAACACTACTCAAAGTCTGTTTACTTAGCTCAAAACTGCCTCCAGGTCTGTTTTTTTTGGTGTATTTCTCTTTGCATCTGCGTTGTTTTCAAGAAATGAAATCAAATTTCTCATATTTGGAGACATATATGAATTGCTTTTGGTTCAGTTAGGATCTCCCTCACAGCACAGCAAACACGTAATGTTCCTGACCGAAAGTCATGCCAAAACATAGTACTCACACTGCATACCCGGTGAGGGGAATTGCAGAGTCCAAAGTGTGCATTCGCGAAGAAGATGAGTGTTTCTACATTAAAATAATATATGGTGGATGATTTAAAAATATATAATAATGATGCCAATAATAATAATAATAATAATAATAATAATAATAATAATAATGCCAATAATAATAAAAACAACAATAGTAATGATAATGATCATCTCCACCATCTTTATTAAGCAAATAATTTTCACAATATTCAACAATTGAAAAATAGTAAATCAGTACTAATGCTCAGGCTGAAGCGTGACCTCGCGGTTTTCACCTTTCATAGAGGGTTTCTGTCCCCCATCAACCACGAAAAATGAGGAATTACTGTATGATTTTTTTTTTCTTGTACATCCAATGTTTTAATGTCACGTATTTCCATTTTCAATTTTTGCATTTTAGACTCGACTTCACTTCAATTTCCTGAAATTGGACATATTCAGGACAGGCTGAGTTAGCCACACAACTATTGAGAGGAGGGTCCATCGGGAGGTCGAATCTCAGATTCAGGAGGAGCAATGTGGTTTTCGTCCCAGCCGTGGAACAGTGGAGCAGTTCTACACCCTCAGCAGGATCCTTGAAGGGGCATGGAAGTTCGCCCAACCAGTCTACATGTGTTTTGTTGATTTAGAGAAGGCGTTCGACTGTGTGCCTTGGGGAGTACTGTGGGGTGTGCTTTGGGTTTATGACACATCGAGCCTCCTGATACGGGCTGTTCAGTCCCTGTACCACCGATGTCAGAGTTTGCTCCGCAATGCCGGCAGTAAGTCAGATTTGTTTCCAGTGAGGGTTGGACTCCGCCTTGCTACCCTTTGTCATCGATTGCGGTCATAACCTTGAAGGACAGAATTTCTTGGCGCAGCCGAGGCGTAGAGGGTTTTTTTTTCCTCTTCGCTGGTGGCCATTGTATTGCATCTCTGCTTTTTGCAAATGATGTGGTAAAGATGGCTTCTTCAAGCCATGATCTCCCAACTCTCAGTGTAGCAGTTTACAGCAGTGTGTGAAGCGGTTGGGATGAAAATCAGCGCCTCCAAATCTGAGACCATGGTCTTCAGTCGGAAAACAGTGGAGTGCCCTCTGCAGATCGGGGATGAGATCCTGCCCCAAATGGAGGAATTCATCTTGTTCACGAGAGAGGATAAAAGTGTGCGATGCACAAGCGGATTGGCGCAGAGTCTGCTGTGATGCAGACTCTGTGTTGGTCTGTTGTGCTCATGAAGGAGTGGAAAGATGAGAGCTTTTGATTTTACCGGTCGATCTATGTTTCTACCCTCACCCAAGAGCTGTGGGTTGTGACCAAAAGAACGAGATCCCGGTCAAAATTATTTTCCTCCACAGCATGTCTTTAAAGTCTTTAAACTGTCATTTCTATTAGAATAGACAGTCATGATTATTATTTTGAGACTTCATGAAGAAAACATCATTCTCCAAAGGATCCAGCGGCCACTCTCCTGAAGGATCTCTTTTTAACGCAGGACTTGTTAACTGTACTGCAGGGTCCTTGGTCACTCTTCTCCAAGATAGCTGCTTCAGCTGCTCCACGATGGTCTCTGGTGATTTATTGACTGTGACAGGAAAGCCTCTTCTGGACATGTCTTCACTCGATTCCATGGCGGTGTCGTAGGTTTTTGTGCAGTCCGTGGACTTTACCTTCCAGGAAGAGGGTTTGAACCTGAATCTGGTTGTCTTTCTTGCGGATCGCTGCGAATTCTCGTCTCTTTTTCAGCATACGAGGAGGATAATCATCAAGAGATATGTGCTTATCATTCAAATTAAAGCATTTCTGTAGCCAAGCTTGACGAAGAATCTTTTCTTTGATTTTGAAGCTCAAAAACTTCACAAGGATAGAGCGTGGAGGGGCCTCGGAGGGAGGTGGTGGGCCCAGAGCTTGGTGTACCTGTTCGATAGCAGTATAATCTGTTTGGTCGAAATTGTCGGGGATTCTTGTTCTGACTCTTTCTCTCCTCGAAAAGCTCTCCAAGTCACTCAGCTTATGCACTAGCTTCTCGTGCAACTGCACAAGCTCCATCATGGCCTCTTCCACATTTACAGGAGCATTCTCACCAAAATCTTCTCTTGTAAAATCAGTCCGTATTCGGCCATGGATCGTGTTAGCTGATTAGCCTTGCGCCCGTGTATTTGTCTTCGCAGCTAATGTTAACACTACTCAAAGTCTGTTTACTTAGCTCAAAACTGCCTCCAGGTCTGTTTTTTTTGGTGTATTTCTCTTTGCATCTGCGTTGTTTTCAAGAAATGAAATCAAATTTCTCATATTTGGAGACATATATGAATTGCTTTTGGTTCAGTTAGGATCTCCCTCACAGCACAGCAAACACGTAATGTTCCTGACCGAAAGTCATGCCAAAACATAGTACTCACACTGCATACCCGGTGAGGGGAATTGCAGAGTCCAAAGTGTGCATTCGCGAAGAAGATGAGTGTTTCTACATTAAAATAATATATGGTGACAGAGAAAAGCAACCATTTCTCTCAAAACAGTCCAAAGCCATTTGGACAGTGAGTCTTGAGTCTTAAACATCATATCTGGTTGTGGTTGGATGAGACATCTTTCAACTTCCTACTATTCCACCTCTACTATAAAAGTGAGCATTTCAGCATCAAAAATGGAGTTCTGTAAATAATATGCCAACTTCCTACTGCATTGTCGCAGAGAAAATAGCGCTGTATGATTAATCACTCACAGAAAAGCAGATCATCAAGTGCTGAGATGCAGAGCAGAACACACTTCTTCTCCACAGCTGCTTGTTCCTGACTCGACTGGAAGCCCACGCCAACCAACGAACCTAAGATAGCTAGAAGCAAGAGGCTTGTAACAAACGTGCACAAATCAAAGGCACACAAGGCCTAACACTGACCAGTTAGCTTGGTACCCCAGAGAAGCATCGAATTCAAAATGGAGATTTTTTTATAACTCTCCTAATAACTCTATAATTGTGTGCCCACAATTAGCATAGCTGTGAGTGCATCATAACAACTGATCAACAATCTCGTAAGTCACGTCTTCACTATCAGATTGTTTTTCCTTAGACACAGAGGTTATTCCTTGATATCAAATTAGAGGTACAAGATTGGGCAAGAGACAGTTGGGGTTTTTTTCCACCGATGATATGTTCTATTGTCAAGTCATAATGACTGTTTAAACAAACGTGATAGGATGTGACTTTTTTTTTTTCATTTAAAGACCATGCAATCAAGATATTATTCTGTATAATTATAGCGAAAATGTCTGTTTCCGACTTTGTTTAATTCATATATACTGTATGTTTCAGGGTTAAATGTTCCGGTTTTACAACTACACAACTGTACAGGGAACAAAGAAGGTCAAACAATTGTTTGGGAAATGTATTTCTCATATCGTGTTGAATAAAAGCAACGTCATCGCGTCGCTCCAATTAAAACTGAGCTTGAAAAACAAGCCTAAACAAAATAACCAACTCGAATGACCAACCCAAAACCAGAATAATCCTGATACTTTACACAGTGTACTGTACTCTATTATTAAGCATAGAGAAGTGTTTAAAAATGTATGCATTTGGTCTATATATGGTTAAACCTATTAATAGAGGCAACTAATTATCTTGCTCACCTTTAGGGGAGCATAAATTATTGATGGGTTTCGCTATTCTCGGCAGGATTCAGTCCCTATCTCTCCCTAATAACAGTTGTCAGCTAAAGTCTCTTCTAGTATTTCTGATTTTAATTCTGTTACTACGGTAAATAGTGAACTGATCAGCAAGTCAAAATTCAAGAAAATGGGAGAAAATATTTATGTGACAGTGTAACAGACCAGGGTGGCCTTACCTGACAATACTTTCTGTTGAGTTTGCATGGCCTCTTTTTCTTCCTGAGGAGGTGTCCAACAGCACAGAGCTTTCAACTGTGGCACCAACCACAACCTCACTCCTTCATCACTAAACCAAGCGATGACAACAACAAAAATCATCGTTGATCAGTTAGAGGCAGGAATGAAAGCTTGGACTGATGGATGCGAGTCTTTTTTTTGACTTTTATTTCTTTATTGGAAGCTAAACTATCTCATCCAGAAAGGGCGTGACAAACCATACGTCAAGCAAAATAAGGCAAACAAAGAAAGAGAAATAAAATAAAAGAATTTGAGCAGTAGACTGATTTGGATGATGCATCTCCTTCCTGCTCAAAATCCAGCACTCCTTATATTCACACACAGAGCAGGTGTGGCTGCAAACACTCATGCAACACCACTTCTGGGTCCAACCAGTATTGAGGACTGGGGAGCAGTGGGTTCAGATATTTTATGCTAGGAGGTGTAGGCAACCTCTAACTAGTGCAGCAAAGTGTTCAGCCCATTTCGCCCCCAAGCTAGGCAATCCCCCAGGACAGAGAATCAGAATCATGCTTATTGGCCAAGTATGTAAAGCAAACGACGGATTTGTCTCCAGTAGTATCCATTACTCTAGGATTGCAGTAACAAGTAACTACAATAAACAGGACATGACATAAGTTTAGAAAGTCTCGTCCCCCGTTGCAGTGAGAATCTTACAGTTTAACCCCAGCTGATCAGAAAAGTATGAGTCCCATTATACATTTAGAGCAGGGGTCGGGAACCTTTTTTACTAAGAGAGCCATAAAAGCAAAATATTTGGAAATGTATTTCAGTGAGAGCCATATATATGTGTGTGTGTGTGTGTGTATATATATATATATATATATTTCTCTCATCACAGTGTTCGGAAATCATTGCAATGTGTTCATGTATTTGGAAAAGAGAGTGTGAAAGAGTCATGGTTACCTGTGTGGAGGTTGAAAGGTAGTGAGTGCAAGAGGTAGAGGCAGGAGCAGATGAGAGGTGGTGAAGTGTCTGCTTTATCAAAAACATGTGACCTGGAATTCTGAAATGGGTTTGGTCAGTTGTTCTGAATCACACCCTTTTCCCACTTTTCCCCAGTCAAACCTTCCTGTTCCTTGTGTATAAATGAGGTGACTGTTTCCTCATGAGTTACACTTGCTGCTTCACTCCTCCTCTTCCAAGATTCAGGTCTGGACACAGCAAGAATCTAATATTTTCACATTTTTATTAGCGTGCCCCCCACCCTTGCAACGTGTGTTAATTTCTGTCTGCAGCCACAAGAGCCGAAGCCGATATGGCTTTTTACGATAACATTTATCCATTCTACCATATTCAAAGGACGTCCTTCATCTTCAGTGGCCACTTGCTCACCGTTATCATATGTTTCCTTGTCATTACACTCTGTCTACTTCTTATTCTGCCTGGAATTCGAGGAAAGTCGGTGAGTACAAGCCTCTCAAATTAGTCCATCGCCTTAAAAATCAGCAAAGACTTTAAACAATTTTCACTGGATGTCTTTCAGCGGCTGTTCTGGCTGTTGAGGATCATCCTGAGCTTGTTTATCGGCGCTGTCATCGTGGGTGAGTGCAGCACTTTTTCCACAAACCTTTTTTTTTTTTTGAAATCTCCCATTGAATTGTTTTTCTCACCTTTCTTTTCCTGCAGCACTCAACTTTACTGACAATTGGGCTGAGGCCCGTATAACCACAAACGCAACCTACAAGTCTTTCAGCAGTGCAATGGTTCACGCTGATGTTGGCTTACATGTTGGCCTGTACGGCATTAATGTTACACTGAAAGGTGAGTTACAGCATCTTTTTTAAATGATGTTTTGGCAGGTGTAAATAAGCAATAAATCACATCACTTACAGTCGATAATGAGAAATTCCCAATTTACAGCAATCTAACAAGTTTATGCTTTGATCCGTTTAAACTCTTTTTTCCAAGTGTAAAATATACAGTCTAGAGATTAGTGTACAGATATGATTCTCAAACGATTTACACTAAGTACAACCTAAAAAAAAATCCCCAAATGATAATCATAAAATGTCAATGTTAAGCGGTTGTAAACCGCTCGATCATTATGCACATCTTGAACATTAGCAATGCAGTAAATTTTAAAAAATGGGTGAAATTCCTAAAATAGGTTACGCATTAGTTAAATTAAAATTATGCCTATATAAATGTTAGGAAAATTAAAACACCTCTAAAAGATCAAATGCAAGTGTGTTGTAATAAAAGGTGAAATACAACTGAACTATATTTAACAAGTGCACTTCACTGGATTAAAAAGCAGAAGAATAAAAAAAGTTTGAACCACTCAAACTCGCGCCGTCTGAACATTCGATTCTGTGATTCTTTCGTCCACCACTAAAGGGGGCACACGTACCACTAGGGATTCTTTTGAGACTCACTACTGATAAGTGCTATGTCCTTTGAAATCCCCTACGTAGCAGTAATGCCCAAGGTATGTTGTTCCATAGCCAGTCATGTTGAAAAGGAAGCACAAATAAATAAATGCTATTCTGATATTACACCATCAACAAATTAGGGTCCACTATGAAGTGTGTATTCTGTCCATGTTTGAACATAATGTACAACTATCCCATGTCAGCATGAGAACACACACATCCTTATGCCTGCAAGTAGACCTTTGCATCATCCATCACCCTTGAATCATCAATCACTTGATTGAATCATCAATCACTTGATGATTCAAGGGTGATGGATGATGCAAAGGTTTACTTGCAGGCATAAGGATGTGTGTGTTCTCATGCTGACATGGGATTATTATGCTCAAACATGGACAGAATATATATATAAATAACTGTATTTTAAAAGTGATTTCAACAAAATGTCAGTATAATAAGCCTCTGAATGTATTCTTTAAAATCATTTTGTGATAATACTCACCATTAATGTGAATGGTTTTCCGTTCCTCACGATTGCTAAAAATCCAGCAAAACTATTGGAATGAAAGTCATCATGCCGGGTCCATACGTGAAGTTACTGCTGGCTAGCTTGCACCCTGCTCAGTAGCATACACGCGTCCTTTATGCTATCTCTCGCACAGTATTTTGATGCAAACATAGCATGAGGTGTGTCAAAGTGCTGCTCTGTATTCGACCGTTTCATCGATGGTATTTTGTCATTGCAAATCAGACACACCGCAGAACCCATTCTCTCCACAAAGGCGAATCGTTCGGTCGATTTGACCCGAAGTCTATCAAACTTGTCATCTTTTTTTCTTTTTGCCATCTTATTGGCTTCGGATCAACTTTGAGCCAATGGCCGAGCGGGTTGATTCAAAAGGGGGCGTATACCTGTTTCCACAGCAACGGCAACGTTGGCCAGTATCATCCAATCAAAATGGCTCCTGGAGCCAACTGCAGCCCGAATGAGGAAATGAGGAGTGAAAAATCGATCGATGGATGCATTAACAAACAAGCGAGAATATTTTTTTTTTTTATCTGCGAGCCAGATGCAATCATCAAAGAGCCATATATGGATCGCGAGCCATAGGTTCCAGACCCCTGTTTTAGAGAGTCCCAAATTTTGAATTCTGAAATGGTCTACTTATTCAATTGCATATGATAATAACAAAAACATCAACAATATACATTGGTACAGAGATGAAAGTGGACTTTCCTGAAAATTCCGGAAAAAATAAAAAATTATATATATATATATATATATATATATATATATGCATGTACACTATAGGTGTACGGGTCTAAAAATGTCAATCATTGCATCGGGTTCCGGTCGGGCTTCTCTCTCGCTTACATTTTTTTTTTTTCGAGGCCGCGAATAGTTTTGGCCACGAGAGACCGTGGTTCGCAAAAAAACAGAAGCAGCGTCATCACAACACGTACTGTACTAAACTCTCGCAATGACAATTCAAAAAACTCCTTCATATCTTTATGATCCAGCCGTCATT